CACACACACACACACTCCCCTACCCACCCACACACACACACACACACACAAACACACAGAGAGAGAAACACAGGGTTGGTGTCAGTAACGTCGACCACTTTTCTCTCTCTCAAAAAGGTATGTGCTAACTATCGTCGACGTGGTGAGTTAGAGTCCTTATCCATCAGTCAAATGCATCCTGGACAGACTGTCTGTCCAGGGTTCGACCTCCTCCTCCTGATGAGTCGGTCAACGTTCGACAAGACAGCCTGGCACAGTCATGCTGTTTTTGGCCCAGTTGTGTATAGCGAGGAACATAACAACACAGACACACAGACACACAGACACAGACACACACACACGCACAGACACACAGACACACAGACACACAGACACGCAGACAAAGGGCCTCACTCCACTCACCAAATGTGCAGAATCAGAATGAATCTTCCGCTAGAACGAAGGAAGATACACCGCCATATTTTTCGTCTCTTTGCTGCATGTCATGTGGTGAGAGTAGCGGGCCAAGGCCCAAAGGGAGCGATACCCATTTAATTCATGAGCTGTGTTGGGACTCTTTCACTGCGCTCTTACCACCCCCCCCCCCCCTTGAAAACGGTGATGGCCTTGAGATATCATTAAGGAACTGACCAGCCCCTAGGTCATTCAGAATCGCAGTATTTCACTCATTTGCTTCTAGTGAAGTTCGGACTCATCTGCTTCTAGTGAAGTTCGAACTCAGGTCTGCTTCTAGTGAAGTCCGAACTCAGGTCTGTATTTCAACAGTTCAATTGTGTACCAACTGAGCTAGGCCAGTGGGAACTCACTGCGCTTTTCAGATATCAAAGCAAAGAGAACAACCGTCATATTAAAACAAAACCTCAAAAAAAAAAAAAAAAAAAAAAAAAGGAATTAAATTGTCATTCTCTTACTCGCACTGCGACACTGCATCCCCCCGGCCCAATCGCCAATGCCTCCTCCTCCTCCTCAAAGGGGTGTTAACCAAGCCAGGGATCAAGGGGGGGTCAAGGGTTCAAACCCCCTCCCCTTCCTCCCAACTGCTGTACCAACAGGACTTTTTTTCAGGAACTGCAAAATTTGAAAAAGGTCCGAAATCCGTATCAAGACGTGAAAGCGCACCCTTTGCCAAAAAAAATCAAACGCACAGCTTACAAGTTAATAGTGAATGCAATCAAAAAAAAAAAAAAAAAAAAAAAAAAAAAAAAAAAAAACGACTTATTGCCAGTTATTTGTGGCCAGTACAGTCGAGTAGTGCGATCGAGAATGGAGGAAACAGCTCACACAGAAAGATCGAAGGGGATACTCGCACACTAGAACGTTTTGGGCTGCACCTGACAGTATTTCCTGCTCAGATACGTCCACAGAAGTCTCAGTTTGTTGAGTAGGCCGTAACCTGATCGGATATCGGCTCATCTGGACCAAATGCCTATTTCGCTTTACAGAGTTTGACGACTTGCAGACACATTTCAGTATGAACCATCACCAGACTGGCAAAAGCTCCCATTCACAAACATGTAGTCAGCTCTCTCTCTCTCTCTCTCTCTCTCTCTCTCTCTCTCTCTCTCTCTCTCTCTCTCTCTCTCTCTCT